AAGCAATATGAAGGTGGCAAGGATGGTAGAAGACTTCTTACTTACATGCTTTTAAGGTTCTGACTGGATGGAAAGTGTCCTGGAACAACCTTAAGTGTCACTAAATGTAATTTGTGTTTATTTAAAAAAAAACAACCTAGGAAATTATTATTTCTACACCTTTGGTTACACACAAGTCAGGGAGGAAAGAGAGGAGTTGGATGGGCCTGGGCATCAGAGAGAGAAACTGCACTGCTGGACCTGCTCCTGGCAGTGTCCACACTCTGAAGGAAGTGAAAGGCTACGATGTAGCTCAGGAGAATCATCATCAGATTTTCCTCTTGGTATCGGAATCACCGTGGATCATACCTGTGCCTTAGCACAAGCACAAAATAATTACAAGAAATTGAAAGACTTAGGGTACTATATTAAATGAAACACTTGAGGACAATTGAGAGAACTGATTAAAAACAAAATTAGTGATACAGCTTTTGTAACAACCTGCTTACATTCTGTAGCACTCAGCGTATATTACCCCATAGCATTCTCTCTAGTTTCTTATGTCAGAAAGTTTGTGCTAACAACAAAGAATGAAGTTCCTTGCCTTATAGACTTCCACTTGCTGCTGACTTGCCTCTAGCTCTCCTTTTAATGATGCTTGAAGTATTAGATGGTCATTTTCCTGCAGGATAAAGATATCTTGGTTAATTTAAAACACTAAATAATTTTTTTTTATTTCAAAATCCAAACCTGAAACTAAATTATAAGCATTTGGTATAAAAAAGCATGTGCAGTAAAATAAGCACTTACAGCTTGCCTTGAATCTGCCAGTTCTTTTTTGGTTTTCACTAGCAGTTGTTTTATTTGGGAGTTCCTTTCCTCATACTGTAGCACAGAAGATTGAAGGGATTCTAATGCAGAGATAATTTTTGATGAGCAAAGGAAAAAAATTGTATAGGGTGCTTTCATAAAAGTGTTGTAAATGTAACTGAAAACGAATGTTGCAAACAAGCAGTTCACCAAGAGTTCAACTTCAAATTTCCAGGTATCATACTGGTTTTCTAACACAAAGTATCTTCAAGCAAATTGGGGTTATGCTTAAAAGGATGGCAAAAAATGCAATATTTAACACACCATTATTTGATAATGTTTTTAAATAGAGTGTTATAACTCTATTGGGGTTTTCAGTCACTCAGCTCTGTAAAAAGATTCTGAAGTGTCACTAGCTCTCCAGCTCTGGGATTAACGGACATGTGAGAAATGCAATTTGTCCAGTAAGATATCTGATTATTAGTTTACTGCTTAGTAAACAAGTGACAGATGAACTACAATAATTCATTTAACATATAAGAAAGGGATTTTTACTAGTCTTCTTTCAACTTCTTTCTTGGCAGCCCTTCTTGTCTCCTGAGCTGAGAATGTTAAGATATACATACATGATGTTCCCAAGCTGTTTGCCTCCCCACCACATTGGATATAAGAAGTCCCATTGCAGACAATGAGAAATTTAAAAAATTAATATTTTACTCACTTATTTCTTCTTGTAGTGTTTCTTGTTTTTGTTTTTGAATTCTGATCTCTTGCTCAAGATCTTCAATTTTGCAGTTTTTATCTGTAATCTTCTGATTAAGTTCTTTCACTAAACGCTCATAATCAGCCATTTCCATATCCATTAGTGTGCTCTTCTGGGCATCCTGTAGATTACATATTTTGTAGTCCCAGTTTAAAATTGCTTGGGCTGATCTGAAGGATTTTTGTTTTGATTACTCTGTACTGCAAAACTGTTCCTCACAACTCCGATTTTTGTTAAAGTCTATAGCCACATACGCAACAGAGGAAAACTTACTCATCAGCATTCTAAATCTCATTTGCTTCTATCAGAATCAAAACAAGGAAACAAGTTACAATATTAAAATGTTGTCTAGCATGTTCTGATAAGCATTCTAAAGGGATTTGGCTCTGGAAAAGCAAAGATAGTCTTGTAATTAAGGCACTGGAGTGGGACTCAGGAGATCTTGATTCAATTTCCACTTCCATTCAGTCTTTTGTGTGACCTGGGCTAGTAACAGTTTCTCTATGCCTCAGTTCCCCATCTATAAAATGGGATAAGACTTCCTGTCTCCCACCCTTTGTCATACTTGGATTTTAAGTTCTGGGGGCAGGAATGTTCTATCATGTGTTATGTACAGCACATAACACAGTGGGGCTACAACGTTATTTGGGTCCTCCAAGCACTACTGTAACAGAAACAATTACCCTACCCGCCGGGCCAGCTCTAGTTCCTGCATAGTTTTCTGAAGATGTTTCTTTTCCTTCTGAAGCTGAAACTGAAGGTCTTCAAGTTCTCTTACAGCACTGCTGTGGTCCTGAAAATTAGTTTAAATGCTTTTCAGTTACATAATTTGAGTTCAAGAATGTTTGTTCATGATGTGTATGTTACAAAATTTATGTAGGTAAGAATGACAGGTTTTTGAAAAAAGCTTCCTACCCTCCAAATTAAATCCCAGATGGATTATAAAATTAATAGCAATTTTATGACTGTATGTTAAACTAAGGCCCCATTCTATTCTCACTACTGACTATGACAAAACTATCAATGGGGGCAAGACTGAAAGGGTCAGCCAGGCAACAGAATACGATGCTGTATCTGATCTATAAAGGCAACAAAACCAAACTAGTTAAAATATTTTAAAGATTCCACTCTGACCATTTACCACACTTTCAGGAAGTCTTCCCTTCAATTAATTCAGGGAATAGCCTGTGCTTTATTTTTTTATGGACCCACAACATTGCTTTTACCTTTATCTTTTGCTCTTTTAGAAATTTTTCAGCTTCCAGTTCTTTGTCGACTTTTGCTTTGGCTCTTTGCGTTTCTAATATCTGGGCTTCTAGCAGTTTAACATTAGACTGTAGAGTTTCAAGACGAGCCATAAGGTCTTCATTGGCAGAGTTTAGTTGCTCTTGCTAGAATATTAGTAACAAGATGAAAGAGGCAGTTAATATTCTTGAAATTCTTACAGGCAGAGATGCTGACTGTGGTTTTTTGTTGTTGTTGTTTAGAAAATACACAAGGATTTCCACCCAACACCCTTTGTAAACTATTCCTGCAGATGCTTGAACATGACAGGACAAAACCCTGTCCATACCAACAGTTTAAAACCAGAATAGCAAATAGCCTGGTTTAAAAATGGGTGGCACAATTTGGACACTCCTACAACACAATTTTGAAACTATATTACAACCCTGTTGCAGTTTTTTTAAGGGGTTGAGGGAGAACAGTGGGTAAGCTTGGAAAACTATTCACTAGCTCTTCAGGAACAGCATGCCAACCTCTGCTCAAATACAGCTGCCATAGTTCTGAGCAGATGTTAATGACACCAACCCCTACGCCAAAGAAGTTACTTCAATACCACCAAATGTTGCCAATTTATCTGTTTTAAATAAGATAAAGCTAAGGCACAGGTAAGAAATCTGTCCCTATCTGGACTAGAGTTGCAGATATTTACAAGGTTTGTTTTGAACCATCAGCATTTTCACCATATGATCTCACTGTCCTTCCCCTTGTTATGTGAATCCAGAATTAAGGATGAATACATGAAAAAAAAAAATTAAACAGCAAAATTATTGGCCATATTTTGTTCATGAAATATTTCATATCATCCATCTGAAAAAATTCACCTGCTGGATAACCAGTAGAATGTATTCAAGAGTGAGATTGGGGGCAAAAAAGGAGATTTTAAAGTCTCATGAGAGTATTTCAGCCAATCAATAATTGGATTTAGGCCATTTTAGAACCCACTCATTTTTCAGATGTTTTGGGTGTTGGACTGGACACATTTTGCCTTCTCAGTCCTTACTAATGGCTGCTGTATTTTGTGTCAAGTAGACAGAAGGGATAGTATCAATAAAGGGTAGATAAAGCTCTGTACTACCCATTAGCTATAAAGGACTTAAAATCTGCATGACCACTGTCAGTGTTGTGCAGCTGCTCTTTTCTGAGAGCCAGCTCAAGCTCATGTACTACAGTTGTTGACAAATGGGCTTAATTTCAAATTTCTTCAGATTTGGGCCCTGATCCTTTAACTCCAAACAGGCCCCTACGTTCTTGCAGTTCAGAGAGAAATTTAGATATTTTTATAATGTCCCTATTTTCATTTAATTTTTTTTTCCAGATCCAAATATTCCAAACACTGGGATTCCTACCTTGTCAGAACACAAATATTAGTTTATTTTGATTGTATCTATTCAAAAATACAGAAGGAATTATGAAAATATTTACAGGGATAATTTACGTAAGTATGTTTCTATCAAACTGAAATGGGACTTAAGATCAATTACTTCATATTTGTCATAAAAATTATTTGCTCAGTCACAAAATAAGCTACCTGCTGAGTTGAAGTCTGTAGCTGTCTTGTAAGGCCATCCATCTGATGTTCAAGATTAGTTGCTCGGTCCTTTTCCAAATCCAGCTGTTCTGCTTGCTTGTCATATTCCAGCAAAAGATTCTTGAAACACGCACAAAGCACTTTAATTTTTGTTAAATACATGGAAGCTGTGGTGTGCTTATAGCAAATAAATGGGTGTTTGCACATTCTTATTATTGTTCAGTACTTGATGTTTCTTATTGTGACATCAGAAGTACCATAGGTGAATTAAAGTTGCAGTTCCGTTCTAGTGAAAACAGCTCTTTCAAATTGTCCTCTCTAGATTTAAGCCATTCATTGAAGAGCTCTAAGTCACCACAGATGTTTAAAAAAAGGGTATATTAGTAAAGAAATGACAGATTTTTTTGAAATGGGGGCTGTTGGAACCTTATTTATGTTTCTTGATTTGGCAATTTAACTGCATTAACAAGGGTTATTTCCCATTATATTTTTCTTTGTCCAAACTTAACATTAGCATTCAAATGGTCCTAATTAAACTTTGAAATTCACACTTCAATGGAAGTAATGGGGTGAGGAGAAGGGAATCCCCAAGTTTGCTGCTGGTATTGATTGGTGGGATACAGTTTTTACACAACTCTGGTTTCACAAGGCAGCAGCATTTTCTATTGATTTATATTCTGATAGCTGTGGCCTTTTGACCAGAAAAAGAATTTATTTAAAACTGAAAGAACTGAAGAATGTCAGAAGTTTGCTGAAAAACTTAAATATTGCATCCATGGTTTTCTCTTGTCTCTGATAGTAAAGGTAATTTTTGGCAGCACTTTGTTGTGCATGTTTTAAGGAGACAGTTTTCTTCTTCACGAAAGCATTCTCAATATCACTGGTGTCCCTGTTTGACCATCTGGTCACTCCAGCCAGATAGAATGGATCAATGGCAGTAAGCATATTAACAAAAATCTACTTCTGAACATGCTACCTTACAACCTCACAACTCCACTGCGGCGTAGGCCCATATTTAAAAGTATGGTTAGATTTATTTATGTATTTTTAAACCAAATATACATGCAAAAGTGAATTGCTTATAACACAGAAAAGTTAAGCAAACTTTAAGGGCAGGTACTGAGCATGGAATATTTCCATATACAAGGATGAATGTTTCTGAAAGTTGAGTCCATAAAAACAGGGATTATTATGGAAACTCTTGCCATTTTAATTATAAACATAATTGTCATTGTTCTAGTGCCCCACCACACACACACTTCATGTGAATAACAAATTTAATAAGTATAATATATGCTACTAAATGCCAAGTATAAATGCAGGGATCACTTCATCCACCACTGAAACCTCTGAGGTGAGATATGGCAATTGTTGAACAACACACAGCAACATTGTACAATAGTTTAGGACAGGAAGCAAAGAACCCTGTAGCTACAGAGGGAAATTAGGTAGGCTGACTGTAATTATGCAGTAGTGAGTCATGGACACATCAAACTGGAATCAGGCTAGGAAATGCCATCTCTAAATAATATTTTCTGATAAATAAAGCATTTTTGAAGATATAGTTAGTACCTCTTACCTTATAGCTTTCTGCTCCTTGGATGATGTCCCTCATAGAAGTAGACAACTGATCTTTCTCTGATCGTACCAACTCTAATTCTTCTCTCAAAGACTGCACCTTATTTCAAAGCAATACGTAACAGTGTGATTACAACAGAACCTTACAGTGCCAGAAAGCTCTTCAATATGCGGTCTAAATAAGTTACCTCTTTTCTACTGGAATCTAGTTCTTTCCTTGCTTTCACAGCAATGACTTTAACTTTATTTAACTTCTCTTCTCTCTCTGCAGATTGCTTTTCCAGACATACTAACACAAAACAGAAACGAATTCATCTACGCAACGGAATAAGTAAAATACAAAACTAGTATCTATGTGATTTTGAAAACATTAGCAAAACAAAAAAGTATACGCATCCGTTACTACTGAAAAACAGGAAGACATTTAAAACACTTCATTCACTTAAGCTCTTGGAGGCCTGGTTTGAAGGCTAAGATTCCCAGCAACACAAATAGCTATAATGGTGAACGCTTCCACTGGTCCAGAGACTTCCATTAGCAAACTTTGGTTTGTTAGGATTTTAAAACTCAAAAAACATGTTTCCAGCTACTCCTGTGACAAATACAGTTGTTTCAGTTTGCAGTTACTTCCTCCCTAACACAACATTTTAAAGTAACTGCATTGGTCATTACATGTTGTAGGAATGCAAGGGTGAGGTGTTTGTCTGAGAGGCGGGAGATTTTATTTCCTCCCTCTTCTCATGAGGCAGCTCTGAGGAGTTGTCCCAGCCACACAACTATTTTCCCTTAAAAAAAAAAAAAAAAAAATCCCCCAAACACCTTGCTATTATTTTTCTATACACGGAAGTGGGCAAGATTATCTCTGTAACAAGTCATTACCACTATTCCTTATTTGACTGCATGGGTTTTATAGGGAGCAAAACTGGGAGAGCAATCAAACTCAGGGCTATGGTGCAGAACAACATTTTCTAGGTCACAAAGCCAGCCACTAACACTTACTAGTTTTTAATGCTTTGGGCTAGCCTCATATGTGAAAGTGACTAGCTTTCTAATATAATTATGCTGGCCACTAATCTGCACTGTCATCTTGTTTGTTTTTTAAATGAAAAAGACACTGAACTATAAAGAACAGCTGACAAGTACATTTCTGAGAAAACACGTTAGACTCTAAAATAGTCCATGAAGAACCTATTGTTTTATTACATTACCAGTCCTCTTGGTGAAATTCAATGGTTTTGCTTCCAGCTAGTGCTAATTTTCTTTTGAAAGCCAACCGGAATGGTCAGAGGGCTTAGCTTTCTCTCTCAACGTAAGCTATATTGTTCAGTGGCATCTTAACAGTTACCAATTTAAAATATTAAAGTTTATTAGGTCTTCCCCTCCATCTGACACAGTTATTAATTGGGGTCAATTGTACAGAGCCAGTAATACACAGATGTCTACCTTAAAATAAAAGTATTAACTGTTAGGGTAACAGACCACAGGCATATTTTGAACCCTTATTGGACATCAGGAAGTCATTTGCTTATTTTAAGTATTTCTCATAAACTAGGGTTAAAAAATGAAAGATGAAGTATGTTAAATAATGGATTAAAAGTCACAATTAAATGTAAAGAAATAAGAAAAGCACCAATTTTTTCTTGTAGTTCTGCTACTGAAGATTGTTGGTCATTTTTTACAGACGACTTCTCCATGAAATCCTGTGATATAAAACAAAGATAATGAAATATTACAAACATTTTTGGTATTTGCTAATTCCTTGCATGTCACAATCAGAAGCTGATTAATATATATTAAACTTAAGCCCAGAATCTGGGCTATTTCTATATGAATGAAACATAAATATTACGATTTATGTACAATTTTATGTTTTCTTGATAATTTACAAAGATACTTAAAATGTAAGGGCAGGGAAATCATCCTCATAGGAACTGCTTTCCATCCTACCCTGTCAAGAACAAGAAAGGCCAGACCATGTAGTTCTGGCCAGCTATTTCTCAGTCATTATCGGGCACTAACAATGCTCTGATGTAAGGAAGTTCCAGCAAACTTACCACAAACAGGGCAGGGCAGATAACTGATCTAACACCAACTTTAAGTTGTGCTTATTTAAGTTGTAGATTTATAACATTTAAGAGACATTATTAAGTCATCTAGGCCATCCTTCTGTAGGATCATTTGTGAGGTACTGGTGGGAAAGGGAGAAGATTATATTTTGCTCAAGTAAGCTTTTAATGCTAAAGTATCTTTTAGTGTTGCCTTTTTGGTGAGGCACTCTCCATTAGAAATACTTATTGAAAAAAAACAGATCAGTTGATTGGGGGCAGGGGGCCATGAAATAATGTGAAAATACTTTTGAACCTTCATTAAGTGTTAGAGGTTTAGTCTGTATACTGAAATAACAAAAAGCATAACCTTTAGAGAGGTCAGTTCGGCTTTCACATTTCTAAGTTCAGCCTCTCTTTGTTCTAGACTGAGTTTTAGGTTTTCTTGCTCTTCTGTAGAAGATTCCTTCTGTTGCTCTTGTATTTGGCTTTCATAACATGCAAGTTTTTGAGAGATCTCTTCAATACAAGCTAGAAGATCTTGTTTTTCATTCCTTGCTTTCTCATTGGCACTCTTCATCTCTTGGATGTCTAGCTGCAAGGCTGCTTTTTCTGACAAAGCTCCTTCTAATTTTTCTGCTAAGAGACACTTTTCTTTTTCAAAGTTTTCCAGCAGAGATCTGAGCTCTGCACACTGAACTACATTTTCTTCCTGAAGTCTCTCAACCTTCTGCTGTAAATTAAGAACTTTTTCATCATTCTGCAAAGTAAGGCTCTGTTTTTCGTCTTTCATTTTTGCCAAGGATTCATTTGCAATCTGCAGTAAATTAATAGCATCGTGTTCCTCATCATCATCTGAAAGTCTGGACCCTATTTGCTCAAGCAAACTGTACAGCTGAGTTTTGACAAGTAATGCATGTGCTTGTTTGTTTTCAAGAAGCATAGTTAAATGGTCTTTTTCTTCAACAGCAATTTGTAATTTCTTTTCTAAACTTTCAGCTTGTTCTTTAAACACTAGCCAATCCTCCTTTTCAGAGGCAACCTTTTCCAGATTACTACTTATTTTGGCTTTTTCCTTATTGATTTTCTCATTTTCCTTATGAAGAGTATATGCTTGAGATAACAGACTCTTTCTATCAAGCGAGAGAGCTTCCATTTGTTCCTCTAATTGCACTAACTTTTGGTTATTCTCATCCTTCTCTTTTAAAGCTTCTTTTAGTGTCTCTGTTAAATCCTCTACATTTTTTTTCAGTTCACTGTTGCACTGGTTAACAAATTCTGCTTGTTGCTGAAGTTCCAGGACCTTTTCTTGTTCTTTTTTACACATTTCTTGGAGATTTTCTACTTCTTCACCTGAACATTTCAGTTCACTTAAAATACCATCTTTTTGAGAGGCAAGACTAGTCACCTTTTCCTCCAGTTCTTTTATTGTGGTCTCTTTTTGATCAAGAGAGATCATCATTGCCTCATTCGCCTCCTGAAAGCTGACTATTTTATGCTTAAGTTCTTCCGCCTCAGCTTGTTTAGATGATAATTTTTCTGCTTCTTCCTGAAGACGACTCACTGTTTCAAGAAGAACATCCTTTTCATTGAAAGCAGCTCTGAGTTTCTGCTGTAGCTCACTGACATCAGAAGCTTGCTGCTGCTTCATTGATTCAAACTCCTGACTGATCTTTCCAGCTGATTCCCCCAATTCAGTTTGTAGAGTTTCCAGGGTTTCCCTCAAACTCTCATAATTGAACACTGCTTCTTCCTTCTCCTGTATGAGCTTTTGATACTGTTCCTTAAGATCCTGTATTTCAAAAACCAATACCATATTTTCTTTTTCTGAATTTGACAATAAAGTCTGATGTAGTTCCGAAATCTCTCTCTCTTGTTGTTCTCTCAGACTTTGAACTTCTAGATTACGCTCTTTTTCAGTGATTTCATATTGGTATCTTCTTGCTTGGAGCTCTGATTTTAGTTTTTCAATTACACAACAATGATCTTCTTTAGCAAGTTGCAGTTCATTAATTTTAAACTCCAAGTCTTCCCGCTCATGAAAATACTCATCCTTTGTGTGCTGGATTTCCTCCTCCAGTTTTAACTTAACATTATTCATATAGGTTAGTTCATCTTTTAATATACTGTGTTGAGATTCCAGTTCTTTTAAAATATGTTCTAAGTGTTTGACTTTTTCTTCCATTTTTGTGTCCACGTAAGTGTCTCTTTGTACATCTGCAACATCTGTCTCATTTTCTTTATTTTTATTTACAGCTTCTCTTAGTTGTTCCAATTCATGTTCATATTTCTCATTACTAGCATACAATTCACCCTTCATGCTTTCTTCTTTTACCAAGTGCTGCTCTGTTAAGTCCAGCTTTTGCTGATTTATCTGGTTTCTCTCCTCTTCATATTCTTTAGAAGTGGCTTCAAGCTGACACATCAATTCTGAAACCTCTTGTTGGTGTGCACCCTTTAGTTGTATAAGCTCTTCATGCAGATTATTGATTTCACTACAGTAATGTTGAGAATTATTTTTGATAACTTCTTGCAGATTTTCAATGTCTTTGTTTTTATCCTCACTGATAGCTTCCAACTGTTTATTCAGACATAAAATCTGTTCCTCATATGCATGCTTAATTTGCTGGACCTCTTCTTGTAGTCTTTTAGTTTCCTCTTGTTGATTACTATGAAGTTCAAGCTGTTCTGCAAGCCCCATTTGTTTCTTCACTTCTTCCTGCAGTTCTTTCTGCAGTTTGGCTAAGTCTTCATTGTATTTGGACTGTGCTCTTACTACTTCATTCTTAAGGCCTTCAATATCTTTCAAGTGGTCAATGCTTGATTGTTCCAACTGCTTCTGCAGTTCTTCTGTCTTAGTTACAGCAACCTAAAACAAACATATATGTCAATAATTACGTAGAAAGAAACAGACAAACTAAAACCAAAAATAGATGAAAACCCAGTATGTGACTTCCCCAACTGAAAAATCAGTGACAAAGTAATTTATCTGCATAATAAATGCCATTTGAACTCATGCTAATGTGGAAGTTAGATATTAGTAACTAAACTGGTTAAATTTTACAACCTAATAATTTATCAAGTAATTCAGATACCTGCAAACTTGGATATTGTGATCTCTGAATTGCAAAGGTCTCTGTCTCATGGATGACCAAGGAAATGGGGAAAGAGTTTGGAATAAACGAGTCCTTGATATTGATTAGTGTACCAGAGATGGAAGTCATATTAAGTTCTGTGGCCTAAGAAGAAATACCTTAAAATCCTAAATTATTTGGAACAAGGAAATGACATTTGAGAACTTAATTTAGAATGGGAGAAAAAATGTACAAGCAAATTAGGTGAGATAAAGGGCACACTAGGAACAGCAAACTCACTGCAGGATGCGTGGTCAAAAGACAGAATGTAAAAGTGTTGGCAAGTTCAGAGGAGAAGCTGAAAGGAACGTTTTAAGGTTATGATAGTTATTGGATTCTTTCTGCACTTTGGTACAGTCTGACTATTATGCTGGTGGACCAGATGCCAGCTCATGCCAAGGTCACATAGATTCATAGACTTTAAGGTCAGGAGGGACCATCATGGTCATCTAGTCTGACCTCCCGCACATTGCGGGCCACAGAACCTCACCCACCAACTCCTGTAACAGACCCCTAACCCCTGGCTGAGTTACTGAAGTCCTCATATCATGGTTTAAAGACTTCAAGTTAGAGAACCCACCATTTACACTAGTTTAAACCCGCAAGTGACCCATGCTCCATGATCAAAGGAAGACGACTCCCCCCCAGGATCTCTGCTAATCTGACCCAGGGGGAAATTCTTTCCAGAGCCCAAATATGGTGGTCAGTTGGACTCTGAGCATTTCAGCAAGTTCCACCAACCAGACACCTGGGAAAGAATTATCTGTAGTAACTCAGAGAACCTCCCCACCTAGTGCCCCATCACTGGCCGTTGGATATATTTTCTGCTAGCAGTCAGAGACTGGCTACATGCCACTGTAAGCAGTCACATCAGACCATCCCCTCCATAAACTTATCAAGATCAGTCTTGAAACCAGTTAGGTTTTTTCGCCCCCACTACTCCCTTTGGAAAGCTGTTCTAGAACTTCGCTCATCTGTTGATTAGAAACGTTCGCCTAATTTCAAGCCTAAACTTGTTGATGGTCCCCAGGCCTTGACTGAATACTGACAACTATCTAGCTGGAATCAGTCTGGTTCACCTGTATGTTAGTATTGTTACAATAGGTATTGGGATTCCAACGTGTTTAGTGTGGAAACTTTATTGAATGCTTGTGAGTTGCTGAAAGCATTACTCTCACTTATAACATCTGTATCCCATATGGTAAGGTAATATTTGAGGATTTGCACTGTAAGCCTTTTTAACTGTGTAAATCACTAGACAGGAGAAAGACCTTAACTAGAATGAAATGCTGGTCTCCAACAGAAGGTATTATGTCCCTCCCAACAAAGAAGGAGCATCAACACCGGACAGACTGGAGTGGAATATTAAAGAGGACAAAAGATTTTGTTGTTTACTCTCTCCCACTCCCCATGAAGATGAGTTTTGGAAATGAATTCCTCCAATCTGTGAGTTTGCAGCTCAAAGCAGAAGGGGGGAAGGGAATTAAAAACCCCTACCAAGGAGGAACTGTATCTCATTGCTGCTTGAGATTTTGGAGGCAGGGTTTCTAGACATAAGCAAGGAATCCCCAGCTGCTTAGCCTGGGTTAGCTCTAAAGGTCATTGAAGCTTCTATAATAAGCAAGCTCTATATTACCTTTTGAAACTTAAGATTGTAACTCATTTGTGTATGTAAGTTTAACTGTTTTAACCTTGTGAATAACTCTTTTTTCCCTTTTCCTATTCATAAATCTGTATGTAGTTTGTTATAGGATTGGCTACAAGTGTGGTCTTTGGTGTGAGATCTAAGGAGCAATTGACCTGGGGTAAGTGACTAGTCCTTTGAGACTGGAAGTAACCTGACTGCTGTTGTGATTCGTGGTATAAAGGACCATCTATCACAAGGGTAGGCTTGCCTAGGTGATGAGATAGATTGGAGTGCCTAAGGAGTCTGTCTGTGACTCCATATTTAAGCTGTTATAGTGCCCGAGGAGTTTACATTTGAAAATTGATTGGTGAAATCTAACTACAAAACCCACAGCCAATTTGGGGTTTGTGCCCTGGTTCTTAATAGTCTGCCCTGAGGTTGGTACTCACCAATGCTCCCTCTAATATTTTACATCCATATGTGGAATGAATTTTGTTATGTACACCAATATGGAGGTGATAATTGGTGGGGGTTGGGCCAAGGGGTTCGGAGTGTGGGTGGGGCTCAGGGCTGAGGATTAGGGCGCGGGGTGTGTGTGTGAGGGCTCTGGCTGGGAGTGTGGGCTCTGGGGTGGGGGTCGGAGATGAGGGGTTTGGGGTGCAGGAGGGGGCTCAGGGCTGGGGCAGAGGGTTAGGTTGTGGGGAGTGAGGGCTCTGGGGAGGGGCTGGGGATGATGGGTTCGGGGGGAGGGGGAGGTGTTGAGGTCTCCGGCTGGGGATGTGGGCTCTGCGATGGGGCCAGGGCTGAGGGGTTTGGAGTGCAGGCTGCCCCGGGGCTGCAATAGGGAGAGAGGACTCCCCACCAGCCCTCTCTTGCCACAGCAGCCTAGGGCTGGGGGAGATGCACCTCTCTCCTCCCCAGTCCAGGCCCTTGTGGCGGCATGCCTGCATTGCCCTTGATAGCCTGGTGTGCAGACATGCAGCTTAGAGGCAACTTAGGTACCCACGCTCCTGAGTCAGGGCAGGACAACTTGACACTGACCATTTAGTCTGTGCATAACCCATTTGTTTTAAGACTTGCAAACAGGTATTGTAATAATTTTGGGAAAGTATTTACATTGGTGATTATAATTAAAAATATACAAACTATGAGTATTATTAACTAACAATGAACAAAAGAGAATGAGGAAAAAAGGGATTAAAAAGTGAACCATACAATCATAATTATTAAACTAGAAAACAAAAATACTATGGACTAGAAATGTTTATAGCAGAAACATGTTATTGCTCATTTCATTACCTCTGCTTCTTGTTTCCTTTTAGCATTTTCTTTTTTGAGGGCTATGCACTGCTGCTGAATCTCTGCTTTTTCCAGAAGAACAGCATCCAGCCTTTCTGAGAGCGCCTAATTTGGAGAGAGAGCGAAAAGGCTGTTGGAAAAAAATGTGAAAATGCAGAGTCTCAGCAACCTTTGTGAGGCAATGCTACAGAGCTCAGATATTGGCCATGAGATTTTCTGCACATTGTGCAACAGAAAACCAAGCCCATTACAATAATTACCTTCATTCCATAGAGAGAAGACAGAGTATAGTGACAGCTATACTGCTAACAAAACACCTCTCACAGTTCATCTACTGAGCAGAATGAACTTGCTACATTGGAAAACTGGTTTCCTATTTTATTATTTAGACCTCCAGAAAAAAAGCTGTGTATAAATAATTGTTTTAACCATTAAACTAATATTTAAACAATCTGAATCTTGTTTCAGTAGTTTACAGGTTCTTACACTAACTTTTCATCTGAGTAGCTACATAAGTTACTACACTTTCAGCAAGATAGATGCTTTCACTACTAAACTCAAAGTGCCAGTTCAAATCTAAAAATAGTTGAAAAGTGTATTTATTGTGATAAATTCACAAAATAAAAAGCACTTTAACTGTTGGACTGAGTAAAACTGCTGCCCCATTTCTTTATAGTGGCAGTGCAATGTTCATCATGAGCTGGACTACTCTCCTATAGAAGAAGAAACTTAAGAAAAGAAGATTAACATTTTACTAGTAATTTTTCATAAAAGTGACACAAAAATTAATATTTCCATATATGATGTAAGACTCACAAGACACTTGGTGGAGGATGATAAAGAAAGTGTCTTAAGTGCATGAGAAGGACTGGTCCCAGATAGTCTGAGTAAAATACTTTGCTATTCAGTAAACACCACCAGTGGAAAGATTTCCAGGGGTCATTTATTGTGTATAGTACTTCAAAAACAATTATATAGTCCCACCTGAATAATATCATCAGCTCCTCCAGCAGCTGGTTTTGATTTGAGTTCAATCTCTTTTTCCAATTCTAAAACAAAAACATTATTTATATAAAAAAAATTCACCATAAGGTTGTTTCACATTTCAAAGAGCAGCTTCTAACTCAGAAGAGAATCTGTAACTTTATGAGATTATAAATATAATTAATGTATTACAATAGTATAGTAATGACATCAAATTTAAAAAATTTCAAAACACCAACTCAGTGTAAGTTAAGAATTTCCTAGCATATTAGTATTCAAAAGTCACAGTCATCAAAATGTACATTAGGCTGAAACTTGGTATATAAAAATGTAGTATTTGCCTTAAATAGATGGGTTAAAAGTTGTGAAGCACTACATCAGTGAAAGGAAAAAGCAAAACGTTTAGTTCTATCTCCACCTGTGACCCTCTGAGGCCCCTGCTGGAGGCCTTGTGGCCCTGCCACACCCCACCCCAGAAAAGGGCAGTGGAAAAAGTCATCCAAGCTGTCAAATTGGCTGCTCCCTGCAGCCCCTATCAGGGCCCAGCAGACTAGTATAAGAAGAGCTGCAGGGCCAGCATGAGATCAACTCCTTGCTGGAATTGGAGGAGTGTGGCTAGCTGAGGGAGTGACAGGACCTCGGCCAGAGCAGAGCTGGCAGAAATGAGGGTGGGGGAAGAGCAAGGAGCACTGGGCTGGTTGTTGGGACTCCATCAGGACAAGGCCCTGAGATAAGGGTGAAGAAGGTGCAGGGCTGTGGGGAAGTGGCCCATGGAATCAGAGCAGTGGCATAGCTTAGATAAAGGGACATGGCAGATGGCTCCTATCTACAGAGTCCCTGGGCTGGGACCTGGAGTAGTGGGTGGGTCTGGGTCCCCACCCCCATTAGGCACTGAGGGAAGTGGCCTGGACTTTGAGGTGCCCCAGAAGGGGAACTGAACTCTTTAGTGGCCCAGCAGGAGAGCCGGGGCCTGAAACACCCAGAGAGGGCAAAGACATTGCCTCCTGGGGGAAGCCCCGAGTACAGCTCAATACCAGGGCTGAAATCACTGATAGGTTCTTAATTAGTCCCGTAGTCTAAGCCCAAAGAGGCCTTCAGCATGAGTTCTCAAACTGGGGGTCGTGACCCCTCAGGAGGTTGTGAGGTTTTGGGGGGGGTTGCGAGCTGTCAGCCTCCACCCCAAACCCTGCTTCACCTCCAGCATTTATAATAGTGTTAAATATTAAAAAAAGCAGTTTTTAATTTATAAGGAGGGGGGGGGTCACACTCAGAGGCTTGCTGTATGAAAGTGGTCACCAATACAAAAGTTTGAGAACCACTGGGCTACAGGGAGAGAAAGTGCAGGCCTGCACACACTCAACCAGGGGGCACTTGCGAGAGGTGAGTGAACCCCTCTACACTACCATCCTCACACTTTTTTCTAAACCAGATAAGCTTTCCCATAATTAACCCAAAATGGTGTCTGCAATCTTTTACGATTTCTTTTCAAAAGAAGCAACATTGAGTAATTACACAATAGCTAACTTACTTAAAAATATTATTGTACCCCCAAGACAGGGTTGCATGATAATGATTTGTGTTTAATATGTAAAATCAATTATTTGGCTTGGAGTTTCCACCCTCCCTCCGCCAACATCAAAACTTACTACTGTATGCCATGACACGAAAAAGCAATCACTCTATCAAGTATGGGGAGCAGACACTCAATGAAAGGCCCCACTTCAAGATACAGTTCAGTTATTCTCTTAAGCAAGTTGTTTTCTCCCATCACACTCCTCCCTGCTTGGTTAGTAAAATTTACTATAAGATCAATGCAATGCCTCTTCTTCCCTCCACTCTGGGATTTCTACCTCTATCCTCTCACAGAAATAGGGAAAATGGAACAAAACGGGTTGCTGGAAAATCTAAGTTTTTCCCTTGGCAATCAAATCCAGAGGTCAAACACTGTAACAGAGAACACTACCATTAAGTCAATACAGCAGTCCCTTCCCTCTACACCCACTTTTTTTTTTTTTTTTAAAGTACATCTCTACCCCGATATAACGTGACCCAATATAACACGAATTCGGATATAACACGGTAAAGCAGTGCTCCGAGGGGGGCGGGGCTGCACACGCCGGTGGATCAAAGCAAGTTCGATATAACGCGGTTTCACCTATAACGCGGTAAGATTTTTTGGCTCCCGAGGACGGCGTTATATTGAGGTAGAGGTGTAATACAAAAATCTTGGAACAGCCAAATAAATCCCTTTTCTGTATGGTACCTGTGCATCTTGACTTCACTTTCTGCATAAGCATCATTTGCTTCTTCGCAAATTTGATGAGATCTTCTTTGGACAGTGTATCCAGCTGTAGAATGTGATAGGGAAAGCATGTTTTGTGATCTATGCCTGATGACTATAACACTGAAAACAAGGAATATTAAATGTCTGACTTTCAAGATATTAAAATTTAGGGAATGAAACACGTCTTATCATATGTCTGTAAGCACAATTGAAATGTATAGTGCAATATAAGTGACCCACTAATTCTACATTAACTCTTACAAGTTTACTCCACAGGGCTTAAGTAGGCAATATCAATGTGAAAGTAAGACTCAGTTGTGAAGGGTTAGCATTCAGAGATGGATTAAAAATCTTCAAACAAGTAAAAAAAGATAAGGCCTGCCAAATTGAAAAAGCTAAGGAGGCATTTGAGAATAATGTAAATTGCTGAATGTTTTTAACATGGCATGCTGTCTTAACATTGTTGTACAAGTGAGAAGTAAATTTAAATGAAGAAACCTATACACTAAAGAAATGAAAAGTCCATTGTTTGAACTGGATGCTGCCAAGTGTTTTCTAAAGGGTTAGTACATTTGCTTCCAGTAATAACTGCCAATAGCATTAACAAGATTTTTCTTCAGCATTCTCCAAAGTTTAACAGGGCTCTCTAGGTTTAACAACCACAATTTAATTTTGGCAAATAGAGTAGTCAATGTTTACCTTTTAAAATTAATCTCTCTTGACTATTCCCCCAGTAGCAGCTAGTAAATCTGTCCAAATCAGTTATATTTGTAAAGAAAGTTTACCTTCGATTTACCGCTTCCTGGTGTGGCATAGGAAGCCACCATATCTTGTCCAGCATCTTGTACCTGAAAAAACAAAATAAAGCACAGCATATCAGAACTGAACTCTTCATTAGACTACTAATGGAACTGGTTAAGAGCCTGTAGTACCCTGACAGTAATTAACAGCTCTAGTAGAACTTGGAACTCAAGAAAATTAAGATTTAAAAAGAAGAAGAAGAATGGAAGAAATGAGTTCAGACATCCATCACAGATAGCTGGATCAGGATAGATGCATCACAGCATGATGTCGTGAGCCAATATATTCTTAGAAATCTGTCTTTTAGATATGGAATTTCTATCCAAAGAGCTGGTATACATAGGCTGGGCAAAATCTACTTATTTTGTTTACAACTGGTCCGGAAAGTATGGCTTGATAACCTAGCAAAAGACCTGCCTTAAAGATGTGGACAAATGAAAATGCTAGTGGAGGAGCAGCATTTAAATGAACAGTGATTTTATGGTAGGATCTCCCAAACTACATTCAAAGAGGTTTACATCATCATCTTGGTCTGGGTTTGGAAGGTGATTTAATGTTCATGTATATTTGGGAAGATAGAATAATAGTAATGCAGGGCTAGAAGGAATCTTAAAAAGTTATCAAGTTCAGCTCCTGGCGCTAAGTAGACCTAGACCACCCCTGACAGGTATTTGTGCAACCTGTTCTTTAAAACCTCCCTTGGAAGCCTATTCCAGAACTTAACTAACCTTATCGTTGGAAAATTTTTGCCCAATATCTAACCTAAATCTCCCTTGCTGCAGATTAAGCCCATTACTTCTTGTCCTATTATCAGTAGAGACAGATCAATTAGTCACTGTCCTTTTTATAACAGCCCTTAACATATTTGAAGACTTGTTATCATCGGTCTTCTTTTCCCAGTTTTTCAGCCTCTCCTCATAGGTCAGATTTTCTAAACCTTTAATAATTTTTGTTGCTCTCCTCAGGACTCTCTCCAATTTGTCTATCTTTTCTAAAGTGTTTTGACCAGAACTGGACACGGTGCTCCAGCTGAGACCTCCGCCATTGCTGAGTAGAGCAGGACAATTACCTCTCATGTCTTGCATGAAACACTTCTGTTAATGTACACCAGAATAATATTAACCTTTTTTTGCAACTGCATCACATTGTTTACTCATGTTCAATTTGTGGTCCACTATAATGCCCCGATCCTTTTCAACAGTACCATCTAGCCAGTTATTCCCCCATTTTGTAGCTGTGCATTTGATTTTTCCATCCTAAGTGACTTTGCAGTTGTCTTCATTGAATTTCCTCTTGTTCATTTCACACCAATTCTCCAATTTAAGGTCATTTTGAATTCTACACCTGTCCTCCAAAGTTCTTGCAATCCCTCCCAGCTTGGTATTATTAACAAATTTTATAAGCATACTCACCACTCCATTACCCAAGTCATTAATGAAAATATTGAACTGAACCAGCCCCAGGACTGACCCCCACTAGATGTACCCTCCCAGTTTGACAGCAAACATTGAAAACTACTTTTCAAGAACCGTCTTTCACTTTATAGTAATTTAATCTAAATCACATTTCTCTAAGTGGAAGACCTACACTTTCCTTTATCTTTCTCTTGCTCCTAATGTATTTAAAGAATCTCTTCTTATTGCCTTCTATGTCCCTTGCTAGGCGTAACTCATTTTATGCCTTAGCCTTTCTGTACATGCTTGTGCTCTTCTGTACTCTTCCTTAGCAGTTTGTCTGTTTCCACTTTTTGTAGGATTCCTTTTTGATTTTCGGGGCCTTGGAGAGCTCTGAACATGAAGAGACACTGCTAGTATAAGCTCAATGTTCAAGCAAGGGCATATGAAAAAGGGATTGGGACTCCACACACAGACCTTACAGCAACTCTGAACAGACAGGATGAGAGACAGAGTAAGCTGTGTAGCAACACAAGACTTTTCTGCCATGCTGTAGGTAGTATTTCCATAATATACAAATTGTATGCCTGATTCACCATTCTTTTCACACTATCAGACCAGATGAATTTATTTTCATGTTTATTTTACATGAATAAAATTTTGATAGTCTATTTTACTAATTTGCAATTAAATCAGCTTCTAGTTAGGTAGGTACAATGCAAACAGATTACACAGAAGTACCAATCCTAAACTACAGTTTTGTAGAAAATATACCAATTCTAGAAATCTTTAAACCAATCATACCAAACTATGCCATGTTCTGAGATGTGATCACATTCCTGATACATAACTGTTAAGTAAAGTCCAGGGATCACACTGGATTTTTCAGTTTATTCCACAAGGCAAATACAAATGACTTGAAACTTCCTTTGGAAGTATCTTTGTTTCTCTTTGTAACTGCAAAAAAGTTACATGAAATATAAGTGCTTGTGTGTGATAGAAATTACTTGACACTTGCCATTATATTTATGTAGTCACTGGTTATTTCATTTGACCTGCAGAACTGAGGAAATCTATTCATTTAGCATACTTCTAAAATACTGTCAAGGTCCCGCAGAGCTCTTGAGTGCTCTTATTAGACTTTATAAAACTTCTAAGTCGGTATTGATCTAGTCACCCCCAACTGTGTTCAGGATGGAATTTTACCTCCCACGGTGACACTGACTAACCCAGCAGGTGCATCACAGTGTTTTCACTTTCCTCTGAAGCGAGAGATTGGCTCTACTCCCACAAGGAAAATACCAGACTGGAAAAGTGCATGAGGTCTGGTTTACTGGGGCAATCATCATCGCCCTGCTGTTACCATAAAACAGTCACAAGCAGTGTGAAGTGCGAGGATGTAGACAGCTCTCCTCCTGCCAACACAGAAACACCTCTGACGGGCAGTTTTCCAGCGGACACTCGGTGACCCCTCTCTGCTCGTGGTGGCTTCCCAAGAAGAGTTGCCACAGGGGCCGGGCTCCAGGCAGAAATGAGGCTGAACTCTCGTTTTATAAACAGACTCAATGTAAAGCCGGGGGTGACATTGCGGCTTCCCTGTAGCCCCTCACAGCAGCCAGGGGCGGGGCGGGGGTCGCACACTGTGGGGTCCCCCCGGGAAGGGGGCCGGGGGGGCGCAATGCACATGGGGGAGGGGTCACCCGCGCTCTCCTCCGCCCCGCCTGGGAGGAGGGGGCCGGTGGCGCGGGGGGGGGGGGGGGCGGGGGGGGCCACGCGCCCAAGGTCACACCCAGCGAGATGCTGCCGCGGCCCCAGTCCCGCCGCGTGCGGGGTGGGGGCGCCCGCCAGTGACGGATTAATCCCCCCCCGGCCCCGCTCAGGGAAAGCAGCGGCCGCCGACCCTTCCCCAGCGCATCAGCCCGGCGGCGCCTCCCCCGGTACCTCCATGGCGGGGCCGCTCCCGGCGGGGCAGTCGGGGGGGGTTTCAGCGCCGCTGCATCCTGCTCCCCGCTTCCGCCTTCGTCACCCCCGCGCGCCTTCCACGTCAGCACTCACGTCAGGCCAGAGGTCGCAGTTTCGGGCCCTCCCGGCTGTTTCTATGGTAACCAGTGACCATAGGGGTGATTAGCCCGGGCCCGCCCATCTCCTGAACCCAGGCCCCACCCCTACCTCCACGGGGCTGCAGCCGCGACGTGCCCGGCCCTGCCCACAAGCCCTGGAGCCGCGGCGGCTCCAGGCGGCCACGTCTGTCCCGTGACTCCGCATCGTCCCTCGAGCCCCCGCGCAGCGCAGCTCGCTGGGCGAAGCCCAGGCGGGTTAGCGGGGCTGTGGGGGGAGGGGTCCCGTGCCACGCCGCTTCCCCCTTGGGCAAGGGGGGGATAGTCGCACACAGGGGCTCCACCTGCAGGACCCTAGCGCCTGGGCTGAAGCCTGAGCGTCTACACAGCAATTAAACAGCCCCTAGCTCCCTGAGCCAGAGCCAGCCGGCGGGGCCAGCCAGGGGTGAAGTGCAGTGTAGACAGACCCCCTATGTGTATAACTCAAGCTTTGTGCCTTCCAGTGATTTTCTGGGTTCAGTTGTGGATCCAGGCAGTGGTTTATAGTGGTAGGATCCGTGAAACTGGGTTAGTCACTCTGAAAGGCAGGGTGGGGCAGCAGATAAGTTTTATGGTTTGTCATATTAGTGACCAGGTTCTGGGCCTGGAGTGACCTTGCATGAGTTCTGTACTAATTTATTTAAATAATGGGGGAGGGAGTGTTTAGCAGTGATTCCCTGTTTTCTAAGTTGGGGGTCATGATTGTAGTTAATAATAAGAGTGCTGAATTGCATGAGAATTTAAACAGCCTATAGCAAGAAGTGAGACTTGAACTCCTGGACTCCTTTTTCCAAGGACAAGGAACTTTCTCCTGAGATTTATTGCCAAATGATAATTGTGGGGGTTTGCTTTGGCGTTTTCACTAGGACTAAAAATTTATAAAATGGTTTAGAAGAAAACATTGTAAATGTAGAACTGATATTCTAGGAATCAGCACATGATGAACAATAATGTTGCCCAGGGTCAGATCTCACAGTGTTTTAGATTTCTTGCAAATGGAGTAACAGGAAAAGTGAGACAATCCAGTGAAAAAGTTATCACAAGGGGTGATAGTTGAACTCTTATTCTTTCTGTATCAATTCATCTTTCATCATCATTACAAAAAATTCAAAATATTCTGTTTTGTTATTGCCATTTTTCCAAATTTTTTTTTTTTTTTTTTTTACAAAATAAAGGTTTAAAACTGCACTCTGTAACATAACCTTAACCAGTGCACCATAATATACTACCCTCAACCCAAAGTGGATCTCCTAATTACGTCAAAGATGGTACAAAGATGATACACTCTGCCCTCTAGCATGGGCATAGTTTGGGGGGCCAGGAAGGGCATTGCCCCCCCAAACTGCAAGCTTTGGACAGGTCTGGAATTTGCCCTCCACTCACATTCTCATTGGCTCGACTGGAGCAGGCACAGCCCCCCGACATATAGAAGTCAAATTATGCCTATGCTTTTATGTAATAACCAAATATTTAATGCCAGATTTTCCGATACGTTAAGGCCGTTTTGTGCTGCTCTGGCAGTGAAAGCAGCCATAAAAGAGGTTTGAACAATTGCTTCAGAATTTCCTTATTTTAGGGAAACATAATGGTGACATAGAGCCGCTGAAATAACTCCTGAGCTATATATTCACCCCATAAGAAACATGGCAGAGGAAAAAAGTGTATGGCCCAGTCTCCTTTACACCTCAGTGATCCCCAGCTACCAGGCTGGCTCAGTGGGGACAAGGGCAGCTGGAATAAAACACAGAACCATGGAGGTTTGGGGCAACATAAGTATAGGATCATAGAATATAACGGTTGGAAGGGACCTCAGGAGGTCATTTAGTCCAACCCCCCGCTCAAAGCAGGATCAATTCCCAACTAAATCATCCCAGCCAGGACTTTGTCAAGCCTGACCTTAAAAACCTCTAAGGAAGGAGATTCCACCACCTCCCTAGGTAACCCATTCCAGTGCTTCACCACCCTCCTAGTGAAAAAGTTTTTCCTAATATCCAACCTAAACCTCCCCCACTGCAACTTGAGACCATTACTCCTTGTTCTGTCATCTGCTACCACTGAGAACAGTCTAGATCTATCCTCTTTGGAACCCCCTTTCAGGTAGTTGAAAGCAGCTAACAAATCCCCCCTCATTCTTCTCTTCTGGAGACTAAACAATCCCAGTTCCCTCAGCCTCTCCTCATAAGGCATGTACTCCAGACCCCTAATCATTTTTGTGCCCTCCGCTGGACTCTTTCCAATTTTTCCACATCCTTCTTGTAGTGTGGGGCCCAAAACTGAACACAGTACTCCAGATGAGGCCTCACCAATGCCGAATAGAGGGGAATGATCACGTCCCTCGATCTGCTGGCAATGCCCCATCTTATACAGCCCAAAATGCCGTTAGCCTTCTTGACAACAAGGGCACACTATCGACTCATATCCAGCTTCTCGTCCACTGTAACCCCTAGGTCCTTTTCTGCAGAACTGCTGCCTAGCCATTTGGTCCCTAGTCTGTAGCAGTGCATGGGATTCTTCCGTCCTAAGTGCAGGATTCTGCACTTGTCCTTGTTGAACTTCATCAGATTTCTTTTGGCCCAATCCTTTAATTTGTCTAGGTCCCTCTGTATCCTATCCCTACCCTCCAGTGTATCTACCACTCCTCCCAGTTTAGTGTCATCTGCAAACTTGCTGAGAGTGGAGTCCACGCCATGCTCTAGATCATTAATGGAGATATTGAACAAAACTGGCCCTGGACTGACCCGTGGGGCACTCCGTTTGATACCGGCTGCCAGCTAGACATGGAGCCATTGAGCATTACCCGTTGAGCCCGACGATCTAGCCAGCTTTCTATCCACCTTATAGTCCATTCATCCAGCCCATACTTCTTTAACTTGCCGGCATTAGGACACATTAGGGTGTCCTAATTATCATATCTGCCCCTAGCTCCACCATAGGGTTTGTTTACCCTTAAAACTGCAGCAGCTATAGCACTTTAGTAAAGATGCTACCTACACCAAGGGGAGAGCTTTTCCTGTTGTCATAGATAATCCATCTACCCGAGAGGCGGTAGCTAGGTCCACATCGACCTAGTACTGACTACACTGGGGGTTTGGTTGGTTTAACTGAGTTTCTTAGGGTGTGGATTTTTCACATGCCTGAGTGATGAAGTTATACCAACCAAATTTCCTAGTGTAGATCAGGCTTCATGGAGAGAATGAGGATAACAGGAATTACATGCTCAGCACTTTGGAAAACCAGGTGGGTACCAAAATATGGATTTAGGATCCTATTTTTGAATATCTCAAATGAGGCACAGAGAGAATAAGTGATTTGTTGGAAGTCGTACAGATTTTCGGTATCAGAACCAGTGACAGAGGCTGGACATTGTGGCTCTCAATCCTGTGCTTCAGTTAAGGGACATCCTTTCACTCCCAGGGAAGACCCACCACATACTTTTAATATGTGTGTGTTTTGATTCCAGCTCTTTCTGCACTTTCAACATGATGATAGTGCTTGATATGTTTGACATTTCACTATAAGTAGTTAATTTTTGATGAGAAATTGTTTGGGAGAAACATTTTAGTCATATTCTATTTACAATTCACAGGATTAAAACTGAGTATCAGTGAATTAATTAAAGGAGAATGGCTATTAATGAAAAATGTTATGTTAGTCAAAACATTCTGCTGTCTTCAGGGAGCAATAATTTGCGTTTTTCCAACTCTGCCTATTGTCACTGATATTTTTAAATTTAAATAGCAAGCACTGAAAGAAGATAGAATTGTTATTCATGCAAAGCACAAAAGTTGATTTTCATAACTTTTTATTTCAGTGCATTCACTATATATAGATTCAAACCCCCTTAATTTCTTCTGAGTTGAGTCCTTTATTAATTCATTATTGTAAGCACTTATTTTAGTTCAGTCAAATTTTGCTTCGATGTAATATTTGAAATAATTTTCCATTGCATACTGGAAAATTCCTTTTAGTAAATAGGAAGAAAAGATCATGGTGACCCCTACAGAAATATAGAAGATTCCTAAAACATAAAGTAAGTGTAATTTTAAAGTAAATACTGTACTTATCAAAGACAGGAAATGAGTAATAGAATATTCTTTCATCAAAGCCAACTCTAGTGTCATGAATAATATAGAGAGACAAATTCTGTGCAATGAATCCCCATTTGTACTCAGAGGGCAGAATTTGACAGATAATGTCACATGCTGGTTTTGATTTGTACTAAGAAACCTCTGTTAGGTTTTTTCTTGTCTTGTTCTTGCAATATAATATATTGTATCTAATCTTGCAAATATGTATGATGTGCTTCATTTAAGCTACTCACATGGTTATAGTTATTTGAGTGGGATTCCTTGTGTGCTTAAAGTTAAGCACATCCATAAGTGTTTGCAGATCAGGCCCTTAGTATGAAAGGAGACTCAAAGAGCTTGGCTTATTTAGCCTAACCACACAAAGGCTGAAGGGAAGATATGATTGCTCTCTATAAATATACCAGAGGGATGAATACCAGGGAGGGAGAGGAATTATTTAAGTTAAGTGCTAATGTTGACATAAGAACAAATAGATATAAACTGGCCAACAAGTTTAGGCTTGAAATTAGATGAAGGTTTCTAACCATCAGAGGAGTGAAGTTCTGGAAGAGCCTTCCAAGAGGAGCAGTGGGGGCAAAAATCTTAACTGGTTTCAAGCTTGAGCTTGATACGTTTATGGTCTGATGAGATCGCCTACAATGGCATGTAGCTGATCTGTGATTGCTAACAGGAAATATCCCCAACAGCCCATGATGGGAAACTAGATGGCAAGGGCTCTGAGTTACTACAGAGAATTCTTTTGCAGGTGTCTGGCTGATTGGACTTGCCAAACTGATCACCATATTTGGGGTCAAGAAGGAATTTCTCCCCAGGTCAGACTGGCAGAGACCCT